CAAGGGCTGATTGTCATGCGGTGTGGAAGACCATCTTCATTATTTTGGCAAGAGCAGGGACAGTTTTGTCCTGACGAGCTATTAGATGAATAGCAGAATGTGTCACATGAAAAACCACTGATCTTTAACCCAGCTATCTACTTAACCAAGCCTAGAAATGAATAGTGAATGCGGGAAGAGCAAAGACAAGTTTACTGTCATTACGAATTAGAGAAACTGTTAAAATCTGCAGCCAAATAAACTCTGGGAATTACAGGTATTACCCAGTAAAGCAGTTGAGAGTACAGAGATTTAGAAGAACGATGTATACAGATGTGAGTTCACTACCTGTGTATGTTGTCTGTATCTGTCATTACTATTGAAAATTGAAACATTTTTATAAAAAGACATAAAGATGTTCTGAATCTTTTCCTAGTACCTTTAATGAATCCAGAAAATGAACACCAAATATAAGGAACTCTCCTTTAAAATAGTCGATGGATATTTATCATTAAGTAGAAATTTAAATACTAAATGAGTAGACATAATAAATCTATGCTCACTGTTTTATCTTTTTTTTTCCCCAGGAGTCATCTCAGGGACACTGCTGCATGTACAGTTAATATAAACATTTATACTGAACTCCTAGATGTTTGAAAAACAAATACTGTAAAGATCAGTAACATTTTAAAATGATCAGTTATGGGAATTAATGCTTACAGAAAAACACCATTCTTCTTGCCCTGCTAGTAGAATCGCATTGTCTCCCTACAGTCTTGTTAGCTCATACTAACTGAAATGCAAATTCTTTCCAACTAATTGGACCTCGTTGAACGTACATGTACAGTACATAGTTATATGCATGTAGATTTTTTCCACTAAATTCCTCTGTAATTATTTTCTTGATTAATATCTAAAGCAGAGACGTGGAACAAAAATCTCTTTAAAGAGTTTACATATTATTGAACATTAAGAAGATAGTAACTGTTGCATGTTTTAACAGCTTAATTAATAATACAGAATAATTGGAACAAAAAGAAGAAAATATTTTCTCAATGTTTAGTCATTTTGAACTATTTGCATTAACCCTTTGACTGAACTAATTAACGCTTAAATTATCAGAGTAATGGAATTTAGGGAAAAAAAAGATACGTTTACATTGTATGGCACATTCATCTGGCTGGATTTTCTTCTTAGTATCACCTGGGCTTTCTTTAATCACTTTTCCTATCCTTTCTTGCCATATGGTGCACTTCTGTATTGGTAGTTTAAAGAGGAGTGATGAAATCTACAATGTTATATTTTTAAAAGATTCAGAAAGTCACACATGTAATTATCTTTGACAGTAAGTAATAAATATTATTTAAAATTAAAAGAAGAAAATGTCTCAACATCACATGGAGTTCACAAAGGACATAAAATTCTCAAAAAACACAAGTAGACAACTGCAACTGCACTCTGTTTTAAGTTCCATTAGAGCCTAGAGTCTGTAGGCACCTCTTCTGTGAGCATCTGGATATTCCCAGGAGCTGAAAATGTAAAATAATTTCACAGATCCTTTTATCTTTCAGTACAAATGACATTGGATAGCAGTAAAATACTTGCAGAACATATTCCTGATTAAAAATCTATTGAAACTGAGATATTTTTTTTAATGCTTTGAAAGGATTTGTTTTAAATACTTTTAGAGCTCTTACCTTGACTAAAATGTTTCAGATTCTTATATGAGTTAGTCAAGAGAGAGAAACTACGCAGTTTATGCTAAACTTGTATACTACTTGTTAGTTCCTGTGCTTCCCACAGATAACTCAAAGAATATTTCTGCCTCCAAAGGAATTGTAGCAATAAACAGAGGGTTATAGATTACAAAGGGAAGTACTAGGTTCTAAGCCTGGATTCTGATTATTATAATTTCTGCTGAATTCATGTCAGTTTTGTTTCTTGTTTGTTTGTTTGTGGGGTTATTTTTGCTTGTTTTGTTTTTTTCTCCCTCGCCCCCATTGCTGTACAGTTAGATAAGGCTTAATCTGCTACTTTAGGAGGTGGGCTTCTGTTGTATTTTTCCTACAATGATTACTTTTATCTCCTTACTGACTACTACTCTGTTAGAAATTCAGGAAGTATTTCTTTTCTTGGTTTTCTATGCTGGCATTATTGTGCCAAACAAGGTGCTGTGAAGATGCTGTAAATTTAAGGATGACTTGAGTTGGACTGGAACTGACAGACTAAATTTTGTTTCTTCAATGTCATGTTAGTTAGTGAGGGGGGGGGGAATAGATCTTTCTTTAAAATATTCTGAAGCTGTGATGTAAAGTCACACATTTGACAATTAAATAATAGTCCTCCTTTGATACAGTGATCTGAATGAGCTTAGATTTCATGTAAGGTTGTAGCATTCTGGCCAAGATTTCTGCTTGGGAAGACCAGATTTGGATGTATTAGCTAGTCAGCCTAATAACCCTGTACAGACTGTATTGATTTTCCAGGAGAGAGTTTATGAACTAAATAAACTTGGAGTTGGTGTCTTAATAAACTGCTTCTTTCAGTCTGTCACATTTCGTTACTTAGCTCTGCAGTTTAGGGGAAAAAAAAGCTAATTCTGTTACAGATTGTTCACAGCAGGGTCTCCAAATTAGCCCTTTGTTTTGTAATGCCACCTTGCTTGGGCTGGCTTTGAGCACATTTCTCAGTTTTACCCTAATGAG